AGCTGTGTTTCTGCAAATCCAGGAGAAGTGACTTTAACCTGGAGTGAGGAGATTTAGCTAGCATCCATTTCAAACACATGAGCAAGGCTTTGGACAAAGGCATACTTGTTATTCTCTTGGCATGACTGTTCTGGTGCTCCAGCTCCAGGTAGGAAATACCTCCATGTGGCTCAGCAAGTGGCACTGAACTGACTGACGCAGCTTTACAGTCTGCTGCGCTGCCCTTTCCATCCCCATCTGCTGTACCTTGACCGATTTGTTGTGTCCCAAGGAAATATTCCTCTGATGGACCTCCCTGCCTCTGGTAAAGTGACTCTGACTCTCATCCAGACTCCTCTTAGTATCTCCACAGGATTGCCATGAGATGGAAGAAAAAAAGTTCAACAGGGCAATTGCCTTCCAAACAGCAAGTCGTAACTTACTGTATTATGCCACCTCTTACTAGATAATCTCTACTTTAACTGTAAGCCCTTTGACAGTCTGATTCTCCCCCATGAAGCGTCTTACAGAAGGTGGCTGCTTCTGAGGTGGGGTTTGCTGGCTGCCCGCTGGGGAATAGAGCCATTAGTGCAGTGTTAGAAACATACCCTTTCTTTTCCTTTCTGAGTCTTAGCTGCTGAGCTTGACCTGTGTTGCTTCCAGACTCCACTCTTTTTATCTTTCAAAAGTGGGAGGAAGGGAAGCACTGTGAAGTAAAATAAATATATAGGTCCTGCTTTATAACTTTAGCCAGCCGTGGTGAGCACTAGGGGTACAAGATCGGCAATCCTGGCATGATTTGGACAAAGTGTGGCAGAATCACTCCCCTTATCTCAGCAGCTGAGCAAATATCCTGATAGAAAACTGCTGCTTACATTGTGTACCACCTCAGGTATTAGCAGTTCCACCATATGGGAATGTTAATGGATGGAAGGGTAGTCTGAGGAAAGAGTATGTGAGACAAAACATGATCATATTTACTGATGTGCTCCATTTATTGTGTTATTCACTATACCAAAACATTTTTTTTTCAACATGGAGCTATGGCAATATGGCTAGTGAGATGGAAAGAACTTTTTCTTCTGGTTTGCCTTCTCACCATATGAAAAGTTCCCGCAAAAAGATATGCAGAATTCAGCTAAAGCGAGTATCTTTTCACAAAATACTGTGATTGTGATTAAATTCCTTGTGGAACATTTTCTTGGTGAGAAAAATTTCACTTGCTGTTGGTGGCATGAAATTGTGCTACTCTGCTGCAATTATTTTTGCAGGAAAATGGAATCAGTTCTCCCTGTAGGGTTTCTACCAGCATAAACGAGTTTCCTAGTATGATAGAGGTTGTGTAAAATGAAGAGTTAAAATAACAACTGTGAATCTGAACACTTGAAATACTGGTAGAACTGTGTTTAACCCACGCTCTTGTCAGCGTTGGAGTAGTGTCTTGCGGAGGGGTGCCCTTCGCCCAGACGTACCTCACAAGGTACTCATGTTGCTGTGTGGAGGAGCAGGCTTCCATTATTACTGCTGGTTTTGCTCGAGAGCTGGGAGAGGTCAGAACTTCAAGCCATGTGCAGTTTGCACCAGCTGGAGGATTGTCTCACACTTCCAGAGCAGAGAAAATGAGAATCAGACCATAACTGATTTTTGTACTTCAAAAGAAATGTCATAAAAGTTAACCATTTCCTTCTAAATATTTCCTATATGTATGTGGCAAAACTGGAAGTTTTGAAACAGTCTTATTTTCTGAGGCATCCAGACAAAACATAACCACAGAAAAACACTTTCTGATGGAAGAAGATTTTAAAAAATTGCCTTTAATCTCAAATACAACTGTATATATATATTTTAGATTTAATTTTAAGAGGTGAACTAAACCCATCAAAGATAGATTTCTTCCCAAATGAAATCTTTGTTGTTGTTTAGAAAGTCATGAATGGTTTAATATAGGGTTTAACACTGAATGACTAACTTTTCCCCAGCTATAATACTTTTAATGGGAAACTAATAAATGTGTTTGTGGTAAGTGGAAAAATTGCCCAGGTGTATAGAAATTTTCAGTGCTGTAATCACCAAAAGAAAGAATTTCTTTTATAGGAGGCATGAGAATCGACAGACTCAGACATCAAATTCCAGTAAATTATATAGAACTGTGTGAAGCACATGCATCAGGCAATCCCTTAAAATAACCACCTGCTTGTATGAGCTGGAAAGGCATGAAAGATTCTTCTCCTGTATTTCAGAAGGTCGACACATGAGTGGTCTTATGGAAAAATAATAGCAAGGGGTTATGGTTGGATTTAAACTGACCAAAACAGCAATAATGGCATCAAGCTTTGAAAAGATACTGTTCTCTATTAAAGCAATATGTTTTGGAGGTGTTGCACAGCTGTTACTTGTGAAATAGATTATTTAGAACTTGTTGTATTTGACTGGCAAGAATCAATCCGTACTCTATTAAAACATGAGTGATTTCCTCACTTTGGAGATCAAAATTTGATAAAAATATTCAAACCAGAAAAAATGTGTGTGCTTTTTTTGTTACATCTGATTTTGAAAATTTCCATTTAACGTATTTATTTTCCCAGATACTGATTAACATGTGCTCATAGCCTATTTGATACATTTTTAGGTGCCATAGTGGTGCAGGTATTAACCAGTTAAAGTAACTACTTTCAGCAACAGTGGCATTTAACAATTAGTTTGCAACAGAAGAGCGTGGGCGGAAAGCAGTACTGGGTTAACAGTGGTAGGAATTTGTGCCAGGCGTGATCAGCCTGCTCTTGACCCCACACAGCAGCATGCCCTTGAAGACCCAGGGAATTTCTGAAAGTCGTCGTTTCCATCGTCAGTCTCTCCAGTGGATATTTTTGGTGTTGCTCTTAAGAAACTCAGTAGGTTGATACGGAATTTCTGAAAGTCGTCGTTTCCATCGTCAGTCGCTCCAGTGGATATTTTTGGTGTTGCTCTTAAGAAACCCAGTAGGTTGATATGGAACGTAGCTGAGATTTAGGGGTGACAGGCTGTATTCACAGGACCACACTGGGTAAGCTAAATAGGATGGGGTAGATCCAGATTTAAATTTCTTCTCTCCCTGTTTTACAGCAGATATTTGATCCAAGTCTGTTCTAAGAAAGTGCCTTTACCACTATGCTGTAAGTTGTTATGATCGTTTACAGTATTTCTACAGTAATGTTTTTCTTTGTGTAAGATTCAGTGATTTACACAGGAAACAAGTCTGGGTGATTCTGACTTCAGGTCCAGCAACAAAAAGGATTTAAACAGAGGAGCAACTTCAGTATAGCAGTCTAATAGAGTTTGCTTAGGACTGAGCTATATAGTCCAGCGTTTAACAGACCCCTGTGGAAGGAAGGACAGCTGGTGTGAAAACCTTGTTCCTAATCAGATTGCATGGCAAAGGCAGTTTAGGTGCTTTGACAGTATGAACACCTGGGAAACCCACAGAGTTACAGGACTTCATTCTGATTTTCTCACTTGGTCCCATTTCTGCAGAATACATTTGCTCCTAAAGGATGTGTCTGCGTGGCACTTTGTCACAGATAACTAAATGGATTTAATCAATATTTTATCTAAAATCAGGGGTCTGAATTTTTTTTGCTCAGTTGTTTATATAGAATAATTAAATTGAACTGGTGCAAGTCAGTTAGACATATCCTAAAGAGAAATAGCAATTGAATTGAATAGGCAACAACTGAGTTGTTCTGGGCTTAATATTTGTAAGAAGTGTATTTTTAAAGAGATTTTAATGATGTCGGAATTACCTACGTGAGAAGAGGACTTTCTTTTTTAATCCTGCAGCTTTTTATCTGACTTCTTGTGCATAACGCAACTCCATGAATTTAAAGTTGAACATATAATTGGGTGGTTTTAGGCTTGGGGTGTTGCTGCTCTTTGTATTTTTTGCACCTTAAAATGATAGTTATTTGTGTGTTTGTTAGAGATATTTAGTCAAGGGAGAAGCATAACTTTTATCTCTAAGCCTAATCATCTATTATTTCCTCAGAAATTGCTTTTTTGTAAGAAAGGCGGAAACAAATCAATTTCTTTGTAAATGTGGATACTAGATAGTATGTGTGAATTGTTAAGACTGTATTGTTAACTTTTTTCCCCATTCGTTACTTTCAGGGAATTCAAGCACACCAAACAATTCCCTGATGGAATTACATTTAAAACAAATTTTATGTATTTCTGTTTTATTTTTAAAAATGTGTGAGAAGACTGTTGCTTTTGTCAACAGTGTGCAAACTAATTCTATTATAGTAGAAAAACATGTTGCTGAATTTTTAGTGGGCTCTGGTTCAGTTTTGTCAGAATAATTTACTAGATTGAAAGGTTCTTCAAGAGACATTGAAGCCTGAGGCTTCATTCCATGATGATTCTTTCCGTAGTGAAAGAAGTGTGTGTTGTGAGTTCAGGGCATTTTTGTTGTTGAAATCCCTAGTCCTGCAAATATTTGTGGACTGCCTGCCTTCTACCTTATATAATTACTGGAATAAATTTAGACTTTCAGGCCCCAAGTGATTACTTAAAAAGAGGGGAAAGAGGACGAACAGGCTAGTTGATATAAGGTTAATTGGTCTGCCTCTAAAGGGGAGCCTCTCAGTGGTTGGTAGTTAGAAGCTGTACAACTAGAAATACTTTAATTTAATCCAGTATAAAAGCTTCCTCAACTACATGCAGAAACACTTAGGAATTTTTGTTCTTTAATCGCAGTTTTAGTCTTCTCCCTATAGCACATCCATTGAATTATTTGACTTATGGTTGTAGAAAGCTGTTTTACCATGGCTGGAATCAGAGTACTAGACTTAAAATGGGCACCTCTCATATAAATGCTATTTGCCAGAAGAAAGACACCCTTGGAGTTCTGTGTGAGTAAAAGGTCCCCACAGGAATGTCAGCTGCCTTCATGGATACTGAAAGAAGTAAAGAATTTAACAGATAAGTCTTTAGATTTTTTTCATTTTAAAACCAAGTCCCCTTCCCATCTTGTTCTTTGTTTCCAGAACACCACAAAATTCCTGCTTTGGAAGAGGCAAGCTGGTTGCTGGGGAACATCAACCAGACTGGCTACTTTAGAGTTAATTATGATGATAGGAATTGGAGGCTGCTAATTAATCAGCTAACAAGGAACCATGAGGTAAGTTCCTCTTCTGATCCCTAAAATCTGCTTTGATAGGTGAACCTTCACTGTTTCATCACCCTAAATGATTCAATTTTTCTGCTTGCCCCTCACAGGTTATCTCTGTCAGTAATCGAGCAGGCTTGATTGATGATGCATTCAATCTAGCCAGGTATGTTTTCCTGAAGATAATCTATCCTCATACACATTCCTGCAATAGCTTATGCAATCATAAACTCAGCAGTTGAGTGTGTTTCAAAGTTAACTATGTTTTAAAAACACTTTAGTTCTTTTCCCCTCCCTTTTTTTTTCTGTATGGCGTATAAACATGGTCTGTAGCACATTCACTGCTCTTGATCAATAATTGCTGTAGGGTATTTCCAAGTCTGGAGAGGTCTGATCAATTTTGCAGCAAGTTCAATTTAACACTTTGGAGATAAGTCATCTCTTTCCACTTCTGCTAATGAATAAGTTTTTTTCGTTCTGTTTCTTCCTGATGCCCCGCCTTCTCTTTTTTTAATAACCGACACTTGTGCTGTTTTTAATTTGTGATGGAAGGCACCTTCAAGCTTCAGGAATTTTTTTTTTTTGCACTGACTTGTACCGTTATATCATTTTTCCAATATCTTTCTTTTCTTGTAATCTGCTAGAACAGGCTTTTCCTGCGTGATGCTTTTCATGCAGAATGGAAAATCAGAGTTCCGTTGAGCATTTCTGGAATATATACAACATTTTGTGTTCTACTGTGATCAGAGTTAATAATTAACGCATGTAGTGCTGGTTAGGTAATGCCTTCTTTACAAACTGAGGCAATGGAATTGTCCCCATTTTGAAATCAGGACATCCAGTATGTTGTTAGTGAAAGTGAGAAATGAGAGGAAAGTAGTGGAACATTTCAAACTTTTAGATTCTTGAGGTACCTGGGACATTGCATCAGTAAAGCACTGTGATGTCAAAGGCAGTGTGTAAAGAATTCCTGATATTGCTAGCTTTTCTGTTTGCTAGCATATTTATAGATGTATTTGATCAGGGGCTTGCAAGAATCAGCAGTACTGAGGAACACTTCACTACAAACGGTCACCAGAGATGTTTGGGATTCAGGCACAGTGTCACACAGAAGTGATGGCTCAGTAATGTTCCAGTATCACTGCAGTAAAACACAGTTGTGTGCCCTACCACTCTAATCCTGCTGCCAGTGCTAGACTGAATATATGACATAAACTAGTGATTATCCCTTTACTTAACAGTCCAGAGATGTAGTAGGGAAGGAGGCATCATGGGGAGAGAAGGAGTATCCATTTGCTTTTTGCACTGCCCTTCATTCTTGCCTTGTGGCATCTTCCCGTTGGCAACGGTAAAGGACTAGAAATAGGTCATCACTTCAGACTTCAGTGGACCGTGATTTGTGCACTCCCTGGCTAGTAGAACATTGCAAAGCATTTGGAAATATCAAGTCTGTTAGAAGAACTACTGAATGTTCAGTAACGTAGCAGTCTGTTCCAATTTTATTTGGTTTTGGCACCTCAGAGAAGTAGTGTGCAGTTACACAGAATCAGTGTGGTGCTTTCTTCTTTTTCCATGCACTGAACGCAGTCAGATGTGGCTAGACTTCTCTGAAAATCTAGACATTGAAAAAAGCTGATTCTTAAGCTGATGCTTCTGAGTGTTTTTCTTCTGAGTCAGTACTGAGCCAGTGCTCTAGGATATTTCATTCAGGAAGCATAAAGGCAAGATCTTGATTAAAGGCACAGCCTTCACCATCTGACCAAGTTTTGTCTACCTAAAAACCACCCAGAGGTTAGATGAATAACTCATTCCACTGCTTTCCAGAGCAGTTTTATGGTGGTACTGGATCCTGCTGCTTTTTCGGAGACAACTATGCCAGAGCACTGTGAAGACTTTCACAAGATTTCACACTGTAAAAAAGTGACTTTCTTTTGTTAATGATGAGCTGCAGTGGACTGCTGCTATATTTCTTACTCATGCACCATGGAAAAAAATAGTTGAGCTAAATATTTACAGTGTATACACATGTGCATACGTAGATATTACTTATGAGAAAATATTCTTCTAACAGGGATTTATAGCTATATTTCTGTTTCTTTTAGATCTCTGCACAGACTCCGGTCAGTAGTATTACCTGGAGTACGTGCCTTACAAGCCAATCTGGGTGCAGAAAAGATCTGCATGTTTGCAAACAGTAGATTTATGCTCCATATTTGAAAAGCAGAAATAAGATAGTGGACCTGGCTAAACTTGCCATGTAGTGTATACTTTTTGTTGATTTTGTTTCACTTCATTCATCTATCGTATTTCCTATTAAAAAAAAAAAAAAGGCAATTGTAGTGATGCTGAAGTTAGTCTAATTGACTAGTTGACTATATGTTACCTTTTTAAGAAGAGTTTGGTATTTTTTGCTTTTATTTCCCTTTCTCAGTCAAAGAAAGACCAGGAATAGGCCTAATTCTTGCTCTGTTCCTCTATCACGAGTAGTACTAGAGGGGCATTAAGATACTATAGAAGAGGAGTGTGGCGGGGGCAGGCCTTGAAGACAGAGTGCCTGAACTTCTGGGGGCACAAGAGCAGATGGAAAAGTTCTTGTTAGGACAAGCAATGGGGAATCGCACGCTGATGCAGCCGTGCGGCGCAGCTGCCTCTGCTGTGTCCGGTGCTCTGACACGACACAGCAGCGTTCCTAAAGCCAGTGCCGAGGGCTATCAAACTCAGACACACCCTTTAAATGTCCTGAAAAATTCAGTATTCAGAAGGCTACCGTCAGCCCAAAAGCAGCTTAGCTTTTGCCTCCTTGGCTGCGAGCCGCAGTGCAGAAAGTTGCTTCACTTTCTTCTGGAGCAGTACCGTGGTTTGGATGTTACCTGCCTCATGGATGCAGTGGTGATGCAGTCTTGTCTCCAATGCACAGTGTATTTCTCCCTGCCCAAAGAATGTTACGTGATGGGAAGATTAAACTCATACGATTGTCTCTGACTGTGATGTGAGAAAAGGTGAGCAACCTTATTGACCAGGCATGGAGATAATAATTGGTAGTTTACACCTGACTTCTGAGAAGACTGACTCTTTTTAAGGATAATTCCATCCTCAGTTGTGCTCCCTAGTTGCATTGATGTGTTATCTTGTCTACAACTAGAAACACGCATTTTGAGAGAGAGAACTGTGGAATATATGCTTTTGTTTTAATCTCTGTCTGTAATTTTCAGTGATGAAATAATAATAATGCAAGAATGAAAAAGTAACTTCTTAAATTCATGCTGGTCCTTTTTAAAAAGAATTTCTAATATAAACAGTTCTTTTTCTTGTACTGAAGAGACTGGGTTTCTTCAAAATACCCCATCCTTCTTACAAACTTCTGAAGTACTCCCTAGTGTGTTGTTGAGCTTGGTACCGATAACGTCCATTCCACACCAGAAGAGTTTGACTCAATTTTTCTAATGTCCTAACATTGTATGTCTTAGTAAGATATTTCTATGTAGTTTTACTTCTAATTGATTTTGTTTGTGGAACAAGTACAGGTCTTATCTTTAGTAAAATTTAGTACTATTTAGATCTGGAGAAAGAAGAAAAATTTGCTCATATAAATTATTTTGGAGCACCACATTGTAATTTTTTTCTTTAAAGACATGTCTGATTTCATTCCTCCAAAATGTTTATTATCCATTTGCTGTCCAGCATAATGACTTGTCAAACAGAAACAGCATAAGTGAATTGGTACCTCCAAGGAATATTTTAAGCTCTGTAACTTTAAATTCATAAAGTTTTGCCCGTTTTATATGGAAATATGTTCCTCCTTCTTGCTTCTTGTGTATTTTGGTTCCATAAAATTAATAAAGCAGAGTTGAAATAAATAACAACAATAAAAGAAAGCTACAGCTTGCCCACTGTGAATTCTCACAAGCTTGGGTTTTTTTCAGATTTTTAAGTGTAATTCTGTTCTCAGCTGCAGTACATGCACACACCCTGAGGATCTGGAGAGCTCTAGTCTTGGCAGTAACATAGCTAATGGAAATACATGCCTCAAATTCTTGAGCAAGAGTGGCACCTTGGCACTCTCTCTTCCCTTCTTGAAGATCCTTTGTCTTCTGGGGATGTTTTGTATGAAATTTCAGTGCCATCTGAAAACATGTTGATTGTAGTAAATGGGATGTGTTGACTGAGAAAGCCAAGAGAAGACAAATAGAACTGTGGCTCTCTTCTAAGCTGAAACTGAGCAGAAGGCAGTTCAGATAGTTCCAGTGAGTAGTGTCACGGGAAATAACAAAGATACTACTGTTTCTTGAGAGTGTGAGTAATGTTGTCAGCTGCTTCTGTCTTTCCCTTTCCTTGGGATAAGGGGTCAGTTAGTAAGTAAGTGAGGTTGGATGCTTCCCACTTTACTTTAGGCATCCCAAATGTAGACCTATAAATCTGAGCTTGTCACCTTGCAGTGCACTGACAGTTAATGGAGAGAAAAGTGTACCTGACCTCTCAAAGCCACTTAACCACATAGGATAAGATAAATTACCCTCCTAATGTCAGGAGTGTTGTGTCACTCCTAGTTCTTCCTTGCTGGGCTCTAAATCTTCATATTCACTTCCCCTCATTAAACTGTTTGCCTTAATCCAATATTATGTCAAAGAAATAGGTCTGGTTTGTATTCAGTGTTAATCAGTGTTGGATCAGATGTGACTGTGGATACCTATTTTACTGTAATCTAAAATAGTTATTTTTTCCAGTTCTGGAAGAATCCGTCAGTTTTGTCTCTTGAAATCTAATGTGTGTCTCACAACCCTTTGATCCTGCCTGCAACATAGTCAGCTCCGCGTGTTAAGCTGGCAGGTGCTTAGTTTGCATGCCAGTTGCTCAAGAAACCATTTTTTTGATGCTGACAATCTGTCTTGCTATCGATTAATATCTTGTCTTCTGTTCTGCGGTTGAAGAGATACTGGTGGAGTTCCTCTGATGCTCAGATTTTCCTGATGGTTCCCGTTCAGCTGGATCGTAGGCCTAGTGACACCCCAGTGCAAGACTACACTCATTGGTTATGCATTACCAAAGGCCAAAGATAAAACTTGACAGCAGTTTTTGCATATTTCTTAGCAGCATTTCTTTGATGTTTATCAGAAGCTTTTTCTTAACTGGATTCATGAGAAACCATGAAATGGTGTTAACAAATTG